ATTAGAATATTAATTTAATATTTTAATAATTACTTCATATATACATTAGAATAAATATTTAATTTAGATATACATTAAAAAGTAATTAAATTTAGATAATCAATATATAGAAGAGATAGTATTTTTATTAAAATATCTCATCCTTATAAAAGATCAAAACTTTAGAAACTCAAATTACAAGTAGCAATAAAAATATATTTTAAAAGTAGAATTAGATTGACATTGTTAATGTATTTTAAAACTAATTTTTCCGACGTTCAATAATGAAGGATTAATTTCTCAGTTTTCTATTTAACCTATTTCTAAAGTTTATTCTTTTTCATTTTTAAGAACAATAATAATAATAATAATAATAATAATAATAATAATAATAATAATAATAATAATAATAATAATAATAATAATAATAGTAATAATAATAATAATAAAAATAATAATAATAATAATAATAATTCTTGATGGGATCTGATTTTAATAAGTCCTGATCTGATTAGGTCTGATCTGATTCAATCTGATCTGATCTGATTCGATATGATCTGATCTGATCTTATCTGATCTGATTTTAATAAGAATAAGAAAAAATAAGAAAAAATAAGTTGAACGAAACGGGGCCTTAGTGTGTCTGGGCCGACCACGGCAGCTGCGCAGTCTCCGATGCCCCACGATCGGGAATCCGTCGAGGGAAGCTCCTGAATTCATGAATTCCCTGCGTAAACTTCTAGGAATTTACATGATGCGGGAGAAGATTTAAACCGACTCCGCCGCAGCCGCCCCCGTCTAGGGTTTGGAGTTTATCGGATTAATCCACTCATTATAATCTTATGCTTGATTAATTGCATCATTATTGCTTCAAAACCGTTCAAATCTTCAATTGTTCATTTAGAATCAATCCGAGTACTAATGCGCGCTGTGAAGTTTTTCTTCTTTCTTTTTTGTTGCTTTTTTCCTTTTTTATACTAATTACTTCTTATTTTTCAGTTCTTTTAATCTTTTTATAACTTGATTTTATTCATTTTTGCAGTTTTTTTAAGTTTGTATTATTTACATGTATTTTTAGTTTAATTAGGTATTACGAGATTATATTACTTACGTTCAGTGAAACATTTCTTGTTTACTTTTGGAATGGGAAAATATTCAAATTTTTCCTTTCCCCTGTCATTTTCCTAAATCAAATACATAGAGCTGGAAAAATACTTCGAGTAAAAAAAGGTTTTTCTACCTTTGTAAGCTTACTGCCCTGAGAGGCTGCCCATTCTCTCACAGTTCACAGTTACAGAGAATCCACATGAGCAAGATAAATAGAAACATTAAAATCACACAAGTATTCTATTGTGTGCTTTACAAGAAAACATAGATCATTGAACAAGAAAACATGGTCCTTGTTACAAGTAGACATAAAAAAAACTTTTATACTCTTATAGTTAACACAATTAGAAATAAAAGTAGAGTGAGAACACAAAAATAGTATAGGCCCATAGCATGAAAAAATCCTGAACTTATGTAGACCTAAATTTCCTGAGATCTCCATTATTTTATTTAGAATTTGCTAAGCAGCTGTGAAAGTAAAGGACCCAAAAAGCTCATGCCAATGTAGGGATTTTGCTTGCTCCAAACATATACCTATTGTTTAGAGGGAAACAACACTTGACAAATTAAAATGAGTAAACATACAAAAGCCATAAAAGAGCTAGCGAGTGATTTTTGTGGTGCGACCAAACAAAAACTAACCATCATAAATGTTAGTAAGTTGCTGAGAAAGACGATCTTTGCAAATGACTCTCAGACATAAGGTATCATTTCACCAATGAGAACAATTCCGGTTAGCACGGTGGCTCCAAAAAAGAGCATGTAGAAGAAGTCTGCAGTCCTTCCTCTGAAAGTGTTCTCCTCAAGGAGCTTGCAGTATCGTGTCAGGAAAAACATGTGAAACAAAAAATCTAAATCTGTTGACAAACAGGGTCAGTTCATTTTGGCAAGAAGATAATGAAATAAATTTAAGCCATATAAAACTCTGAAACAGGCCATAATGTGAAGTACTCACATATAAATAATAAGAGTATTACATATACATTTGCAATTTTAAGCCATATAGAACTCTGAAACAGAACATAATGTGAAGTACTCACTTATGATTTATGAATAATATTCTGTATATATTTGCAATTTTAAGCCACATAAAACTCTGAAACAGAACATAATGCAAAGCACTCACTTACGAATACTATTCTGTATACTTTTTTAAGAAAGGAAAATTTAACATCTAATCCCATGGTTGACCCCTTCTACACTAATAAGGCCACAGTTTGCATGCCTCATAGGTAATCCTAAGTTCGGTCAGCATAGATACTAATGGTCTCTACTTCCCCAACTGTGAGTAAGAGATTGTGCAGAGAGGGGTATGGAAATGAGGATTTGAAGAATAACCACAATGTCCAAACCATGGCAGCACAGACTTTCTTTAGAACTCAATGTTGGTTCTGTACTGACCATTAGCATTGACACAAATTATACTTCAAAACAAACTTGGAATTATTAGTGAGAAATGCAAACAACAACAAACCAAGTAGAATCCCACAAGATAGTAGGGTGTGGGGAGGGTGTGTGTAGGCTTTTCCCTTACTTGGAAGTAGAGACGTTGTTTCCAAAAGCTCGACACAAAAGCACATAAATAGTAAATACAACACTAGACTCAAAGCTAAGAAAGCACATATGCATATGCTACAAACTTACGCAACAAGGCAAAACAACTACAAACTAAGATCCAAAGGTCGACCGAACAACTCTAATCTTAGTTGTCCACCCTTATCTAAGGTCATACCTTCGGTAAAGTATTGAAATTGTAAGTTGTGTCTAATAACCTTCGTCCAACTCTTCATCGATCTACCTCCAACCATAATCACACTCGCTAAGTTGGATTCAAACCTCAATATTATTTGCCTAATGGTTTGATTTATTTATCGGTAGTTGTTTAACATTTGATGTTTTGAAGTTGTTTCTCTCTCTTTGATTTAGCAGTTTCACTTTGACTTATATTCATCTTCATTTAATATAAATGACTAAACACGTTTCAATAAGTGTCTTGCAGGAAGTATTCAAATACTGCTGCAATAGAGCACGCCATTGAAACAAAAAAATGGCTAGACCCCTTATCTATGTTTGCAAAGCCTGGAGATATTCAAACAACACCCATCTCTGAAGTTGCACCTACAGAAGATGAGGTCAATGCTACAACTGACTGCACTTTATATATGTTTCTTTTATATTCACATCCAATTAGTATTTTACATGGATATCAAATAAAACATACAACTCTTTAATGTGTACATATACAAATTTACTACATGAACACACAGGGGGGCCTACTGGGTTGAAGGCCAGGTGCAAGTCTTAGAAACTGAAGAAATTACATTCTACTTAGGTTGCAGTAGTTGCAACTAAAAACTGGATTTCAAAGAAGAAATTACTTTTAAATGCATGCTGTGTGGTGACCCATCTACCCGGCATCAACAACTGCAAGTACTCAGGTAGAGGTCACTACTACATCGAAGATCCCAACGGTAACAAGCCAAAAAAGAAAGAAATAAGACTGTCCACGTCGTGGGGAATTGGAGAAAGACGGAAAGAGGCTGGGGAATTAGGAAGATAAAGAAACGGAGAACAGTAGTCGTTAGCAATTAGACGGGAAAAAATCGAAACAACTTCCAAATTTTGTCACCTCCCATGAAACACTTTGTAATATACTCCGTATAACATGTACTGTACTCATGACATATATATCTGGGCACACACACGAAGTGTGTCCCATGCTAGTATATATATATATGTCTAGACATGTTTAAAATGTTTAAAATGTTTAAACATGAAAATTGGAAAGATAAATCTAGAAAAATCTCTAGTGATGTAACAAATTAGTAGTATGAATTTTCTGGGTAGGATTGTGGATTGAATGACAAACAAGGATGGGAATTAGAAGGTTAAAATTATTTTGAAACTATGCACAATGCAGATTAATTAATGACAATGAAATTTTCTTATAATTGTTTAAACATTGGTAAATACTGATCTGAAATTCATTAATGGTGTATGGATAGACATGAAGGAGGGTGTACATAAATTTTTTGCCTATTTTTATGCATCAAAAAATGTGGCTTGTTTCTGCCTATTTATTTACCTTCTGTGATGTGTGAGTGATTTGCTTCAAAGGGAGGCAGTATATCTTTTGCCTTAATTCAACATAGAATTGTGAGTGATAACATGCAAAATTTAAAATTAATATCCCTAAACCAAATCAAAGGAATGGGGAAATAAATCTTTGCTTCAATTCAACATGGAATTGTGAGTGAAGACATGCAAAAATTATAAAATCAACATCCCTAAACCAAATGAAAAGGAAGGTGAAATTACTTGGGCGATGACTAACGGGAGAAGCACGGGAGAGGAAGTATTGTAAACCGATTCTACCAGAGATTGATGAAGGAAGGAAAAGGCGATTGCACCAAAACCTGCATCTCTCTCTGTCAAGCTTGAAATAATTGGGGAAAAATTTTCGGATTTACTTGATGCCAAGTTGAAGAAGAAGAATACCTGTAGTTGTAGTCACTGCAGCTGGTGGTCTTGCTGGCCGAAGCACGTCAATTGCCTCTAGACAATGCCATATGCAAAATCGAGCAAAAACAAACCACCACAATCGCCGCCTGAATCATCTCAACCCGTTTCTTCGTTTGTGAGAGAGGCCGTGAATGCAAGGAAATCATATGCATGTCATTACTCTGGCGATGTAGTGCACCCCATAGGCAAAATCGATTGAAAGACACAAATAATCTGCGTTGAGGTCAAAGAGGTGAAAAGGTTTCATGTGCCGAGGGCAGAGAGAAGCTGAGGAGGTAGAGCGTCCGTTCAAAGCCATCCAACGCTCGTATCCCTCGTGGCATAGTAATCCAGATCATGCGCCATGTCCCCTCGAAAAGGACTTATCATGCGCCATGTCACTGCATTTTTTTTCTTTTTATTTATATACCAGAGTGCAATAGCATAAATTATGCACTTTCATTAATGAAGGGTATATAGAAGCAAAACCCAAAGTTGAAGCATGAGTTCTCATAGAATCCATTTCTCACTTCCAAAACCTATAAACATGAGGCATCATAAATCAAAGTAAAAAGATATGGTTACCATTAATAGGACAACACAACAACAACAACCCAGTTGAATCCCACAACAGTAGGGTCTGGGTCCATTAATAGGAAAGACATCTAAATAAATTAACACTTATAAAAATGCTAAAAGGTCATGTGGTATACTACACAAAATTAGACCTGTATACTGTGGGCTATAAGATTCCATGAGGTCAGTTCTTACTCTTATTTTCATTTCTCTTTAATATTGTTATCTTAATCCCCCCTAAATAAAATTCACTTATAATATTCACACATTAAATTATTAAAAGGTGTAGTAGTAGTAGCAGGACTGTTAAAAAAAGTAGTAGAAGTAATCTTAATAGTTTTTATATTCAAGCATCTCACCACTTGCTACATCCACAGTTGAGAAAATAAGGCCTTCGTCCATTCAGCTTCAAATACACAAAATAGGGCCTGCAAAATTTAGACAATTAGGTAAAAGTACAGGGCAGTCTTGATTCTTTGCTGGATTGCATTTTGCAACTCGTATAATTAGGGGTATTGATTTGCAATTCAAACAATAAGGGGTGCTGAAAGAACAAATATTATTAGTGAAAGCCACTGCCTTATTCATTTTTTATACCTGAGAGGGCCTTTGTTGGCTATGGATGGATCAGGCTTCCTAGTTCCATTTGTTCTTATCTCAAAAGAAATAAAAAAACAAATTGAAGAATTTCAAATAAGTAATTAGTTGAGAAATGATTCAAATGAAGAGTCCACTTTTTAAAAAGCAAAAAATAATAATAAAGAACACACCTTTTTGTTTTTCAAAACCCACAAACCCTGGCACACTCGGCAATAGATGTTCTTCTAACACTGTCATGGCTGCAAACATGCCCACTGGGATGTGTTCCCTGCCAAATCACAACTTAGATCATTTAGCACCCAAAATGTTATAAACCTTGAACAAAGCTCACTCAGAATGGAATAACTTTTACATACGGAACCATATACAACCTACCACTGCATTTTTTTCTTTTTATTTATATACCAGAGTGCAGTAGCATAAATTATGAACGTTCATTAATGAAGGGCATATAAAAGCAAAATCCAAAGCTACAGCATGAGTTCTCGTAGAATCCATTTCTCACTTCCAAAACCTATAAACATGAAGCATCATTAATCAAAGTCAAAAGATATGGTTAGTATTAATAGGAAAGACATATAAATAAATTAACACTTAAAAAAATGCTAATAGGTCATGTGGTATGCTATAAAAAATTAGACCTGTATACTGTGGGCTATAAGATTCCATGAGGTCAATTCTTACTCTTATTTTCATTTCTCTTTAAAATTATTATCTTAATCTCCCCCTAATTAAAATTCACTTATAATATCCACACATTAAATGATTAAAAGGGGTAGTAGTAGTTGCCGGACTGTAAAAAAAAGTAGTAGGAGTAATCTTCGTCCATTCAGCTTCAATTACACAAAATAGGGCCTGCAAAATTTAGACAATTAGGTAAAAGTACAGGGGAATCTTGATTCTTGGCTGGATTGCATTTTGCAATTCATCTAATTAGGGGTATTGATTTGCAATTCAATCAATAAGGGGTGCTGAAAGAACAAATATGATCTCACAATCTAACCAGCAATTCTAATAACCTTGGAAAGAATAAGCAATAAAAATATCAGCCCTCTTTCTTTAACTAAAAGCTAGACGCGGAACAATAGATGCAGATATGAAAGACAAAAGAATTGTAAAGCAACACAAAGAAGAGTGCAGATATGAATCCCCCAATGATTGATTAAAAGGCTAAGGTGCAGTAGGGCTTTAGCTTAGTTGAGAATGATCAGATGATATTTTTTCCTCAAAATTCTTGAAATAGGAAACTAATCAGATTGGATTTATATTTCTGAAGAGTGAACAACAAAGGTATAAGAAGCGGTTGGTTTTGGTGTTGCCTGCCCTTCACAATTTAAATACAGTAGTTTTAAACACTAAATCCACCTCAATGCCATGTCACCTCCATCTCACCTTCCACGTGTCACCCTCACAATGAAATAACCCTACTTTATTTTCTATTTTGTGAATGTATACTTGCTGACCAAACTATATGAATACTCTAAGGCATAATGTGTAGTGAGTAGGAATAATCATTTTTTAAGTCTCTTATGTCATTTTTTTGAATTGTGGATTTCATATAGAGAATAGTGTTTTAGGGTACATTTTTAAAAGCATTCTTTTTTTAATAAAGAAAGGTAGAAGGGTAGAGGAGTTAACTAAATCCCCTAAGAGAGAATATAAAAAGCTACAGGGAACGATCCACCCGATGTTTTTTTTTGAAGGAAATAAATCACATTAATTAAAATGAGAAACAATAAAGTCTGGAGGAACAGATTCCCAAACCCCACGTTGAGCAACCGCTCGACGGGCTAACACATGAGCAACACCATTCAGATCTCGACAAACATGAGAGATACAAATTGAACGAAAAAAAGATAAAAATAGCCTACACTCCTCAATAACCGAACCAAAGTACGAGCGAGAATCGGTGGCGTGGTTGATGGCATTCACCAATCACCACCATCCAGCTATCTGAAAAAAGCTGCACCTCCAAGCATGCCTCTCTCTTTAACCAAGCCAAAGCCTCTCTAACCGCAATTGCTTCTGCTAGAAGGGGATCTTGAGAACACGGAATAGTACCGTTACATGCTTTCACAAACCTACCACCTGGATCAAGAAGAACAGCACCGAATCCTACCTCTCCGACCTGAGGAAACAAAGCGGCATCAACAAAGCAATGTCGCACCTGCCCTGAACTTTGCTGTCCTAGAATAGTACAAGACGGCAGAGTCAATTGCTGCCCCAAACGGCTGTCCGGCCAACGTTCAACCAGTGACTTAATCAACCGAATAGTTACCGCCGGCAACGAAACCCTTCCATCCCAAACTGCTGCATTACGAGTCTTCCACAAAGCCCAAACTGCATATGCAATAACTTTAAGCTCTCCCAAAGACCTTGAACCAATAAGCCCTTCAAAAAAATGTATAAAAGAGCCTGTGGCTACTGTTGAAACCTGAACTCCAATCCCTTCCCAAATAGCCGATGCATAAGGACATAGAACAAAAATGTGATCAATTGATTCCCCCTCTTCCCCACATACTGGGCATAAGTTGTCCAGTTCCATCCCTTTAGAATTGAGAGATGAGATAGTTGGTAAAATACCCCGAAGAGCCCGCCAAATAACCACTTTTACCTTAGTTTCTACCGGAATGCGCCAAAGCTTATTCCAGGCTGAAAAACCAGTAGGCTCAGCAACAACCTCCCCCTGAAGCAAACGGTAGCCATCTTTAACGGAGTAGTGCCCATGAGGAGACCTTGACCAGAACCACAGATCCTCACGAGAAGGGCAAGAAGGCACACGCAGGATCTCCATAACATCTCTAGCATTGAAATAGGAATGTAACAGCGACTCGTTCCAGCCTCCGGTAGCTGGATCCCTAAGAAAATTCACTGGGAAGTTAGGCATAAACTGCTGATCAGTCATAATGGTTGGGTTTTCCGGGTCCAAGAGCCCAGGGGACCCCCACACAAGAGTGTTTCTACCATTCCCCACCCTACGACGCACGCCTTGTCTGATCAAAGGTTGTGCCTTGAGAATGCTACGCCAACAAAAGCTTGGAGTACCCCCCAAATTCGCTTCAAGAAAAGAGGTTTTCGGGAAGTACCTTGCTTTGAACACACGAGAAACGAGCGCATCAGGTTGGGTAAGAAGCCTCCACCCTTGCTTCCCCAGCATTGCTACATTGAAACTATGAAGTTGCTTAAAACCCATGCCTCCAAATTTCTTTGGCACTGATAGACGATTCCACGACATCCACCTAATGCCGGTAGAATTAGAAGCCTTGCTTGTCCACCAAAAGGAATTCATCAGACGTTCAATCTTCTCACAAAGCCCCTGTGGTAACAAAAAGACGCTCATGGCATATTGAGGCATAGCCTGTGCCACCGTCTTTAGCAAGATCTCTTTGCCTGCCCTGGAAAGTAATTTCTTTCCCCAACCTGAAAATCGATCCCGAATTTTATCCACCACATAAGCAAAAACAATATTCTTATCTTTACCCAAAAAGGACGGAAGACCCAAGTAGTTACCAAAATTATCCATCTCCGAAACCCCGAAAAAAGAAGAGAGCATCTCCCTGATTTCCAAACGAGTGTTAAGACTAAAACAGATACTGGATTTACTAAAATTGATGGACTGACCCGAAATTCTTTCATATTCAGCAAGGCAACGTTTAACTTCCCCCGCCTCTTCCAGAGTAGCCCTCAAAAATAGAAGACTGTCATCGGCAAAAAATAGATGGGAGATAGAAGGAGCTCCTCTGGCCACTCGAACTCCATGGATACGCCCACTCCTTTCTGCTTCCTGTAAAAGCAAGGACAGGCCCTCCGCACAAAGAATAAAAAGATAAGGGCTAAGGGGATCCCCTTGCCTAAGGCCTCGAGAAGGAATAATATAGTCAGAAAGTTCACCATTAATAAGAATTCGGTAGCGCACCGTGGTGACGCAGAGCATAATAAGTCGAATCCACCATTCGGCAAAGCCCAGACTCTCCATCATCCGTCGGAGGAAACTCCACTCCATACGATCATAGGCCTTGGCCATATCAAGTTTTAGGCCAACCCAACCAGCAATGGGTCTCAAATCAGCAACTACCTCAGGAGCACTCTTCTTAGGGATTAAAACTAATGTTGTGTCGTTAACACCTTCAGGGAGCTTTCCATGATGCAGACAAGACAGCACAAATGTTGAAACCTCCTCTCCGACCAGATCCCAAGACTTTTGGAAAAAGCCAGGATTCATCCCGTCTGGACCTGGGGATTTATCTGGTTGCATTGCAAAAAGAGCAGCCTTTATCTCCTCTGCACTAAAGGGACGAAGAAGCTCATGGTTTTGAGAATTTGAAACCCGAGGTGAGATCGAGCTAAAGAAGTCAGACTCCTCAACACCTTTTGATTGAAAGAGCTCCTCATAGTACTGGCACACAACCCCTGACAACTCCAAACCTTCACGCCAAATGCCTGTCCCATCCTTAAGTTTCAAAATATGATTTTTCTTCCTTCGATGTGATGCATATTGGTGGAAGTACCGAGTATTAGCATCACCCGACTGAAGCCAATGCTGCTTCGCTCTTTGCCTCCAATATGAGTCCTCTTGGTCTAAGAGAGAACCAAGCTCTTTGTCAGCTTCACAAAACTCTCGCACCCCCCCTTCGTCATGCCTGCCCCGTAACTCCTCCACTCGCCTTTTGAGAACCTGAATTCGACGTCCAAATTTTTGAAAACGGTCACCTCCCCATGCAAGAAGACGCTGGCCACAGCGGGACAATTTCTCCAAAAACGGTAGCTCCCCTGGTGAACCCCAAGCCGATCTCAACGCTTCCTTGTAACCTGGGTCACGAAGCCATGCATTTTCAAACATAAAACGCCGAACCCGCCTTACAGGGTAGCTAGGCTTCGATGTCATCAGAAGAAGAGCAGAATGGTCAGACCGTCTCATAGGATGGTTAAACACCGACGCATGAGGATGAAGGTCCTTCCAAACACCTTAAGGGAAAAACCACGATGTTTGTTAGGGGAAAAAGGAAAAAGTAAAAGGAAAAAAATTTGAACACTATAACAAAGTCCTTGGTTTGAACGACTTTGGAAGATGCATCTCTCATACAATATTATCCTCCTTGGCTCGGTTCTCGGTGGTGTAGCTTGCCCTTGGAAGATGCATCTCCTATAAAATGTGGGCGAGAGTTGTCTTGAATGACATGGGGATGGATGGTTTGTCGCTGGTCATTTCCTGCAAACGGTGTTGGTTTTAGTTAGCATTTGTGGTTTGTGGTAGTGTTTTAAAAACGCGAACTGAATTTAAACCATAAACTTTTCCAATTAATCGTAATCTAAACCAAAAGTAATAAACAACAATCCATATTAAGAACAAAAAACATTGCCAAAATCATACCGGGCATTAGTTTCCGAATGATGGAACAAGAGAGAAGCTAATCGGAAAGAAGAGAAACATAAACGACAGTCTGTTGATTCCCCCTGCAAACAATTAGATATTGAAACGGAAAAACATTTACAAATGCGGAGTTTAAAACATAATAGGGTGAGTAGAAATAATTAATGGCTGCCTCTGCATACCCTTCGTACTACTCTGATTGAAGTAGGGATCCGCTGTAATTTCAGCTTTAGGAAAGACGTTAATGGAATCGAGATAGATGGACTCCAACTACATCAAGGTTGCTTGCTTTTGATGTGCTCCATGGATTTCAAGTTTTTCAAGTTAGCTTGCAACAAATAGATTTCAGATGGATGTCTACTAAAATTGGAAGAAGAAAAAGGATGGAAGGTGGAAGAAAGGGGCAACAGAAACGGCAGAGCCTCTTTGCATGCACAACTCTCTTTAAACGCCCTACGTGGTGGCAATTCAGTAAATATTATCCTACATGGAAGACACGTGTCATATCACAGTTAAACTTCTCCTTAAGGAATGGAGACAAAGTAGTGCTAATCATACTTCATTAAAAGATGCAAAACTAAATCAATGATTTGCTACTCTATTGGTAATCGTCTCAACCTGCGAGTGGTATACCTAGTTCTTGAACAGAACACTTTTCCTAATTGATATACAGTGGCTTTAGCATGTACATTATTTTGCAAACAAAAAAGTTAATTCCATATCCAAAGTATGTATAGATGCATCCTGCTTTCTTAGTCAACCAAAAAATGCCACCAAAGAAAATACTAATCATTTGGATATGGAATTACTCAACTTTTTCCTAATTAAAACTATGTGATTATTTTTAGATAAAGTGTGGGAGGGTAAATTATATATGTATGTGTGTGTGTCTATATATATATCTATATGATCATAACCTTCTTATGTATGTTCCGTTGTGTGATGTCTGTACCTTGAAAAACCTGGAGCAGCGTCAGTATGACCTTGGCCGTTGCCGTTCATCCGCCTTCGTTCAGAGCTACACTGGCCGACCAACTGTTGGCGTTGATCCAGATATGTGGTTCTTCAATTCTAACATGGAGCTACGTTAACAGATTGAGTCACTGATTTTGCAATTCTCCTTGCGTCTGAGTTGCGTTAAAGTTGTTATTCCAGTATTCCCCTGGGAGAGAGAAAGCGTCTGAGTTGTGTTATACCCCAAGGTGTAAGGCTCGGGAAGACCAACCTTTTGAGAGCCATCCTCCACATCATGCGCCAAGTAAGAAGCCAGGTGTAATGTTTTTCTTAGGAGGAAGAAGGAACTTGGGAGCATTGACAATGCCAACTAAAACAACCTGAGGACTAATCAAATGAGTTGTTGGAACAAAAGCAGAAATGCTCTTATAGATGAATTGTTCGAATATAGTAGCAGCCTAAGAGCGATTATCCATGGTAGTAGCAACACTACCCTTCAAATAACACTGTTTTGATCTAAGGTAACACTCGTCTTCAAATAATATAAAATACAATCACAATAAGTTATAAAGATATGAATCAAAGAAGATATTTCACAAATGGGATTTCATAAATAAGTTAAGGAAATATCAATCATTTAAATCTTAATGAACAAGAAGATAGACCAAACATATGACAAATAGTGAAATATAAACCAAGCTCACAGAAGGGATACCAATCGTGACAGCTTCTCCTTTGGTTACCTCTGCAGGGACGCCTAGAATAACACCCTACACAAACAAATACCAAAATGAACAATGAAAATAAATTGCTAGAAATTGACCAATCAAATGCTACAGGGGAGGAGAAAGCAACTCGAATCAATTAATCAAAACTCCCAACAGAAATGAAACAAAGCAAATAAATAATTAGTGGAACCCTAAATTATAATTTGAACTTCAAAATTGAAGGAGAAGAAGTTGCGCTGGAGCTGCATCTGTCCTGCCTTGGCTGTTTGTTCATCGCTCCTCTGCTTCAAGAATACGCAAGACTCTCCCCGAACCACCTATTGGGATTGATCCAACTCTATGGTTCCTCGATTCTAACCAGGAGCTACATTGGTCAGGGATTCCCCTTCCATCCATGCTGCGCTAGACCCCCAGTGGCAAATCCCCAGCGCGATTCCCCTGCTAGGGCCGCAACCGTGGTCGTCCAAGTCTAAGAAACGAACGGAGGCGGAAACGTATGGAAAGTGGAAAGGTGGGAACTGAAAAAAGGGGTAGTCTGAGAAGTTAATTTGCCACCTGGCGTGAAGCCCTCCATCTCATACGCCAATTTAGCCCTCCATCTCATACGACAATTAAGTATCCTATTCTTCACTTGCTAGTTGCTACTTTGAACAAAAATCAATGCTCAAGTTATAAAATATCCCAAGTATGTTACACAGAAGAGCCACCACAACATTTCACGATTTCATTTGTTCAGCCCAATCCAATGTTTTTTTGGACTACAACTAAAGGGTATTAGTAGAATTTTTAGGATAATAATAACCTATTTACCATAGTTGGCTTCATAAACAGAAGAACAATCTGCTCCAGGCACCACTTGGCTTGTGTGACCAGCAATGGTCCTGTGTAACCAAATATGGATATCACAGTCCTTAAGTAAATATATGGACACTACAAGCATCTCCCAAAGAATCCAAAACCTTGTCTAGCTACCAACCATCAAAGTCAATCCTAGATTCAAAATCCAAATCTATTCTAGCTCTAGGAAGTACCAAGTCAGCCTATACCATCACCAAAGTTCATTCACTAAAGCTAAACAGCCAACCCAAACTCATGAACAAAAAACCCAAGGATTGAAATACAAAGCCATCATCCATAACTACATAGCTACCTAGCCATTGAAGAAACAAAATCCCCAAACCCAAATTTTGGCCTAAGGTTTGAACCCCAACAGTAACGGCCATAACTAAAGGCCCACATCAAGCCCAATGATGAAAGGTTGCCCCAAGGCCTGACCCAGTCAACAATTAAAAAACAGTCATGCACTCACCTTCAATTCAGCATCTGCCTCCCAAAAAAATCACAATGCACCCTACTAAAGCCAACTTAAGCCTGTTATTGTAAGGTTCATATGCACCCAATAGTATAAAATAATTATTATTTAATATTAAAAAGTGAAGGGTATAGAAAAATTGTTTAGGAAATTTTAAAAAATTTAAATACTGCGTGTATATTTGTTTAATATATTCATTTAAAACTCTATCAATAAACTTTTTAAGTATTATATAATTATGTGGAACTTGATTCTAAAAATCTTTGTTAGTCACAAATATAAATTTTAGTTTTTACTCAATTGCATAAAATTTCATTTAATGTCAAAATTCTTCCATAACACTCCTTTCGTTCAGATATAGTCATCTAATTTGATACTTTTGATCAAATTTTGTAAATATTATCCTCAATATATGAAAAAAAATTATTTCTCAATAATCACATCCAGTATAGTAGGTGGCCTCATTATCAAGGATTTTGATATCAGTTGTAACCCATACCCCTTTGCCTTAAACGTAAGGTTAAACGTGGCAGATAACTGTAAAGATTTTATTACGGTAATTTAATTTGAATGTGTGATGTTTACCGGGGAAATTGATTTTGAAATGTCGCCAATTTTGACCTTCGAACGCTCAGGCGGATAAGCAAGTGCTATTACGGCATTTTTATATGCCTTTGCTTCAATGTTATTCTTCATAAGCTCCAAGCTTTCATCCCTCCTAGTAGTGCATTTTATACAACATAAATTGACAGGTGTGTGATCTCTTTTAATAGCTATTAAAATGAGAATAGAGTATTACCATTTTCTCAACCGATCCCAAGTGGGATCTGAATGATTAACTTCAAATACGGAATCATATCTTGTGGAGAGTGACACACCTGTTACATGTGCATGTTTCCTTAGTAATTTACTACGATCTACTTTGTGTGGTTATGAAGCTATGTTTTGGATAAATAAACATTACCATTGAAGGGAGTAACGGTCACCCTTTTACCCAAAATTATTGGGTGTCGCCCACTCTCTAAAAGGGATGTTATATCCCGGCTTCTCTGAATCACAATGGCCATGAAATCTAAATGTAGCAAACATAAAAAAAAAGTTTAGATGTCACATCATTGTGATTTTTCGTATTATGTTAATGAAGATTAATATTATTCACATACTGATTGGGGTTTTAGACCCGCATAAGTCATAGAAGTCAAAGAATTGTGTGAGGATAGTGTATGTCTCTTTTGTTGCCTAAATTTGTTCTGATTTTGGGCCTGCCTCAATCCAAGTCTTTTTACTCAACAGCCAAATGTAATTATAGTTTGCGGATGGGGGATCACCACTATACTTGGTTAGGCATGGCAGTAGCATTGCTTATTAGTACATGTTTTTGACCCGAAACCTGACGTGAAAACACTGGGTTTTGAACAAAGGTTTTGATGACCGAACCCGAAATAACCGGCTAAAAATGGGTCAAACCCGACCGAACCCGAACCCCACGTGCTAAAGTAAGAGTTTTTAAAAATCATACACTTTACAACTCATTATTTATGTATAAATTCTTACTTTCTGACAAAATTTTAATGATATTGCATAATTATCTTACTTTTTTTTTAAACTTAAGCATTTTTTTAATTCCTTATATTCATTTATATATCTAAAAAAAATTTAGGATTTCAAATAGAAAAGTCAAATAGACTTAATACATATTTTTTGATATTTTAATTTATTTCATAGAAAATGTAAGTGTTAATGTAAATTTAAAAATTTAAAAAACCAGTCATAACCCGTTGGGTTGACCCAAACCCGATGACACTGGGTCATGAACATACAGTTCTCAACTCGAACCCGAATGGACCCGAACCCGAAATAACCCGTCCTTGAAGTGATCAAACCCAAACCCAACTTGATGACCGATTAGCCAGCTCTAAATGGAACATAATTAAAGCAAGTAATATGTACGCTTTAAGATTGATTATTTTATAAGCTTTATAAACTTACCTCCTCATCCTGCAATATAAAAGGTCTGTACTAGTTAGGGCTCGTCCTTGAGTGTTTGATGTTCCGTTTCTCCACAACTCTAACCTTACATGTCCATTCATTTTTGTTGTCATTTATTCCACTGATCATTTGTGTCTCCATAACTAAAATCATTTATAAAAAAAGTTTTATAAAATTTGACCTTTTATATTATTATCTTATGATACGATTTCACATTTTTTAGAGGAATAAACTATAAAATATTCAATAATATTACTTGAAAAAGAAAAAGGTTCTTACTTGTAAATGGATTTTACACTTACAAATAGGTTTTGAAAAATGTTAAAAATAAGACATAATTGAATAGCATGTTACAACGTACCATTGAATACGAACATTGGCAGTGGCAGGTTGTGGGTTGGGTTTTGATTTTTTTGTTTGGGACTGGTGTTTGGCAACAGAATCAAGAAATGTAAGTTATGCAATGAGCACATTGGAGGGACGTACCCCCTGAATGTGAAGATGAATTGAAGCCTAAAGTTGGCATGTTTTTTAATTGGTCTGAATATGGATGAGACTTTTATAAAAGGTATGCACACTCTGTCAGTTTTAGTATTAGCAATTTAATAAAAAACTAATGATAAAACAATGAGTCCGTGGTAATACATTCACTGCAAAATCTGGGAAAAGAATTGTGTACACCCAACCATCGTAACCCATTAGCATAATGGATTTCAAGAGTCCATCACTCACTCCTTAATTTATAGCCTTGAAATTTAAAAAATCAAATGGTACAGCTCTCATATTTGAATAAACCAGATTTTCCTATTCTTTAGATGCTTTAGAGTTTAAAATTTACAACTTGGAATTTTATACATTCTAAAGAGCAGTTTGAAATTGCTACTGTATTTTTTTTCACATCTCTAAACGTGCTGGTTGCATATTTTTAAATGTGATATGGTCATTATATCCAAGTCTAAAAAACAAAACAATTCAAATCCATTAGAAACATATAATACTTTAAATCTCCCAACTTTGAAAAATTGATGTTAAATTGTAAGTTATCTTGTTTTAGGTTCAGGAAATGTGGGAAAAGAATTGTGTATGCCCAACCATTCTAACCCATTTGCATAATGGATTTCAAGAGTCCAACACTCACTCCTAACCTTTACCAGAGTCCAACACTCACTCCTTACTTTATAGCCTTGAAATTTAAAAAATCACATGGCACACCTCTCATTTTTCAGTTTCAAACAGGATTGCAAAGACATAAAAACAGGTCATAATTTAAAAACTGCTAAAAAATGTATTCTTTATAGTCAAAACCTTGCAAGTTATTATGCAGAATGTTCAAAGGAAGTAATGTGAGCAGAATACACATCTGAATTTAAGCACTCTTGAATACATGGAATTTAAATTACCTGAAGAATAATTTTCCAAACCTGTAGGTGAAAAATGACCCTTCTTTCAGTAATAGAAACAAACAACAAAGAGAAGAACACGCCAAAGAACTCATAAGATTATGCCTAGGAGGTATCTTGGAGATGGTGTCTCATCCCAAAATCGAATATAAATAGCCCAACGTACATGCTGAAATAATTGGCAGGGGATTATTAAGAAAAGGATCCATAAATACAAGACGAGGAATCAGAGAAGATGTTTCAATCATACCGGGAAATCTGCACATCTGATACGCAATGCCTAGAATTCGGAAATATGAGGTTGATAGTATTTAGAACCACAACATTTTGATAGTATTTAGAACCACAACAAAAAACAAGACAGTAAAACGCAATTGCCTTAACTCAAAACACGACCTAGAGTCTGACCTAAAAATTAAAATCCAACGGATTGTACCCGCAAACCTAACGCAAATTTGATTGTCAAACACTAAAGTTAAAGGTCAACCTAGAACCTAACCCAAAACCAAACCCAAAATCAGGTCCAATCCCCAAAGTAAGAAACAAAATCCCTACCGAGAACCGAACCCAATAGCCAATTGCAGGGGTGCATTAAGCTATTCCCATGTTTAAAAAATGTGAATTAGTACAAAAGCAATGAATATGACATTAACAGGCTTTAAGAATGAAGACCAACCATTGTCTGTGGCATTTGACATGGTAAATATAGCCGGGTTAGTGGAATTTGAGTGTCACATGGCCTTAAGCACCTATTTGTAATAGTGTGGTTTTGATTAGAGTGCAGCAGTTCATATTAAGCCAATTTTTTTGGAAGATATCCGACAAAAAGAGGTAAAACCAATACCGGTACATGGTGAAATTTCCATTTTGTTGATCGGTGGAGGCGTTGAAATTTCCATTTTGTTGAAAGCACCGCCAAGCTCCAGCCAATAAACAAGACTCGGCATGAACCCTGTCACCAAATAGGACATGAAAGAGGTTAATAAATAGGAAAATCTCTTACCAAGGTGAATATTGTCAAATTGACTCTCCATCCAAGTATATATGTACAGTAATATTTTTTGTTATTGTGTTGTGTTTAAATTTTAACGTGGTGGAACTCATCTACTAAAAAATAAATTTTCTACTGCGTTTCTTGACCTTTTGGATAAACAAACATTACCATTGAAGAGAGTAACGGTCACCCTTTTGCCCAAAATTATTGGGTGTCGCCCACTCTCTAAAAGGGATGTTATATCCCGGCCTTGATTCATTGTGAAATCTTCCCAAAGAGTCAACACAACTGGTTTCATTCTTTTTAAGATGAAAGTAAAAATGTTGGATATACACAATGTTGAGTAATTAGAATAACTATGTCATACTTACTCTTCATTCACAAGCATGAAATCATGTGCGGTTTTGGCATGTCCAGGAACGGAGACATACTCTCTGAGCATTCTCTGAATCACAATGGCCATGAAATCTAAATGTAGCAAACATAAAAAAAAGTTTAGATGTCACATCATTGTGATTTTCTGTATTATGTTAATGAAGACTAATATTATTCACATACTGATTGGGGTTTTAGAACCGCATAAGTCATTGAAGTCAAAGAATTGTGTGAGGATAGTGTCTGTCTCATTTGTTGCCTGAATTTGTTCTGATTTTGGGGCTGCCTCAATCCAAGTCCTTTTACTCAACATCTAAATGTAATTATAGTTTGCGGATGGGGGATCACCACTATACTTGGTTAGGCATGGCAGCAGCATTGCTTATGTAGTACGTGTTTTTGAGGCCGAGTATCTTATCAATTTGTTCAATGTCACCACTATTTACGAGAGCAAGAACTTTGGTAACCTGTACAGAAATGGTTGAATGGAACATAATTAGTGCATGTAATATGTACGCTCTAAGATTGATTATTTTATAAGCTTTATAAGCATACCTCCTCATCCTGCAATATAAAAGGTCTGTACTTGTTAGGGCTCGTCCTTGAGTCTTTGATGTTCCGTTTCTCCACAACTCTAACCTTAGGTTCCTTAAATGTCCATTCCTTTTTGTTGTCATTTATTCCACTGATCATTCCACCTTACATGTCCATTCCTTTTTGTTGTCATTTGACTTTAGGATTAAGAGTTTGGGTCTATATTTGCGATGGGGTTTTGTATCTGGGTTGTCGGGTCACTAAAATTAATAATTTAGGGCTGGGTTTTGGTGCTGGTTTTTGGGGCTCGTTGGTTGGGTTTTTAGTTTTGGGTTTAGACTTTGGGTTTGTTTTCGTGTCGGGTCACAAAAATTAAAACTAAAAGATCGTTGAAGGAAGACACATATTGTGAACCTAGGTATTACACCACAACCTAATATGATAAAATAAATTGGAAATTGAGAAAGTTAAACATAGTTCAGAACAAAAAATGATTTATGATTTTAGATTTTTAACCCATAAATGGATTTCAAAGACTGTGTGTTCATACCCTTATGTAGAATCTGGGTTAGGTTTTGGCGTTTGTGTTTGGGACTGGTTTTTAGGCCTGGGTTTTGGGTAGACTCTAGGTTGGGTTATAGCGTTTGGGATTGTTTTTGAGTCTGGGACTTTGGGTTTACTATCCGGGTTTTGGGTCTGGTGCTTTGGGCTGGTTTTTGGAAGAATGATGTTCCAAGTTCTTGCGGATTTAGGCGTATCTGTAATTAAAAAATGTTTTTTCTTTACTTCTACTAATTGTGGCAAACAACACACCTATAAACAAACCAAATAACTAATATCATTCTACCTGGGAGGATAGCTGCTTTTACACCTAAATTAATATCTGGGTTGATGGGTCAGTGAAATTAATAAAAGATTGTTGAAGGGAGACACATATTGGCTGAGAGGATATTGATAGATAATGAAACTCGTGGGTTGGAACAGTAGCCTTTAAATTATGCCAGTTTTTTCTTTGAGATGTGGTACCTTTGAATGGTAACTATTTAGTTTCATACATTTGGAAGTGTCGGTTATTTTCATACTGTGCTAAGCTTAAAGACATTTTAATTTAATTCATAGACGAATAACAAAATTCACCACACATACTTCAGGGTTTGTTTTAGATTTTTATGAAATTACTGAATTTCAAGCACTTTAAAAAGAGCACATAAATAAAAAGCACTTCCAGATTATCTAACACATAAATGGATTTCAAACACTTTCAAACAACACCAGGATTTCAACCATTTGCATAATGGATTTCAAGCACTATCAAAGACGCCCTTATTATGAGGCAATGATTTAACACAGAAATGGAGTGCAAAGACTTCAGAAACAACACATAATAAACATCTGAAAACTAAGCTGCAGAATAGGAAGCAAAAACACATCATACCTAAACCTCTATGGTTTCAATGAATGGATTGAATTAAAATTACCTCAAGAATGATGTTCCAAGGTCTTGCAGGTTGANCTGGAGATGGTGCCTCATCCCATATCCCAAAAATTGAAAAAACAAATAGTGGTTGTTCGAGGTTTACTCTTTGGTAAGCTTTTACTTCTAGTTTACAAGTTTTAAGTCTTGAGTCTCGCTTTGGTTACTCGGGGTTAGGTTCTAGGTTTGGGTTAGAGTTTTTGTTTTTTTGGGAGTGGGTTTTGGGTTTAGATCCGCATTTTAGGCTTTGGTACATCAGAGCTGGGTTTGGATCATGATTTTACTTTCTCAATTAGTTAGAGTGGGTTGCTGGCTAGGAGGATATTGAGTGACAGTGCCTGCGGCTGAGTTTAATGGAAACATTGTTGGGAGGGGTGGAAGTACGGGGCAGGATAAGGGGCATGGACTTGGGGTGAAAAATTTTGGATCCATCACACTCTTGGATACATGGAATTTAAATTACCTGAAAAATAATTTTCCAAACTGTTGCAGGTTCAGCCCTACCTGTAGGTGAAAAATGACCCTTCTTTCAGTAATAGAAACAAACAACAAAGAGAAGAACACGCCAAAGAACTCATAAGATTATGCCTAGGAGGTATCTTGGAGATGGTGTCTCATCCCAAAATCGAATATAAATAGCCCAACGTACATGCTGAAATAATTGGCAGGGGATTATTAAGAAAAGGATCTATAAATACAAGACGAGGAATCAGAGAAGATGTTTCAATCATACCGGGAAATCTGCACATCTGATACGCAATGCCTAGAATCTGGAAATCTGAGGTTGATAGTATTTAGAACCACAACATTTTGATAGTATTTAGAACCACAACAAAAAACAAGACAGTAAAACGCAATTGCCTTAACTCAAAAAACGACCTAGAGTCTGGCCTAAAAAGTAAAATCCAACGGATTGCACACGCAAACCTAACGCAAATTTGATTGTCAAACACTAAAGTTAAAAGTCAACCTAGAACCTAACCTAAAATCAGGTCCAAGCCCCAAAGTAAGAAACAAAATCCCTACCCAGAACCTAACCCAACAACCAATTGCAGGGGTGCATTAAGCTATTCCCATGTTTAAAAATTGTGAATAAGTACAAAAGCAATGAATATGACATTAACAGGCTTTAAGAATGAAGACCAACCATTGTCTGTGGCATTTGATATGGTAAATATAGCCGGTTTAGTGGAATTTGAATGTCACATGGCCTTAAGCACCTATTTGTAATAGTGTGGTTTTGATTAGAGTGCAGCAGTTCATAATAAGCCAATTTTTTTTGGGAGATATCCGACAAAAAGAGGAAAACGAATACCGGTACATGGCGAAATTTCCATTTTGTTGATCGGTGGAGGCGTTGAAATTTCCATTTTGTTGAAAGTACCGCAAAGCTCCAGCCAATAAAGAACACTCGGCATGAGCCCTGTCATCAAATAGGATATGAAAGAGGTTAATAAATAAGAAAATCTCTTACCAAGGTGAATATTGTGAAATTGACTCTCCAGCCAAGTATATATGTACAGTAATATTTTTTGTTATTGTGTTGTGTTTAAATTTTAACGTGGTGGAACTCATCTACTAAAAAATAAATTTTCTACTACGTTTCTTGAGTGACAGTGCCTGCGGCTGAGTTTAATGGACACATTGTTGGGAGGGGTGGAAGTACGGGCTGGATAAGGGATATGGACTTTCCATATTCCCTGGTCTTGGCAGCAAAGACAAATGCTCTCAAGCATCCAGCATTCCAGATCCCGTCCAGTGAAACCACCAGATTCTTGTGCAGCAACCATTACCACCCC